CATGTTATATTAGCGCTGCATCTGCTGGAGGCTTTAGGGTTTAGGGTTGAGAGGCTTCAGGGTTTAGAGGGGTTCAGAGGGTGTAGGGGGTTTAGGGTCTGTTCGCGCGGTGATTTCGCGTTTTTACATGCGGTACTTACAGGGCTTCCTTGCAGAAGTCTCCTCCAACATGAGAGGTACAGTATCTACAGTATGTGCAACAAAAGGGAGAAGCCCGAAGCCTGAGGCCTTTGAGGCCTTGAGGCACTGAAGGCCTTTGAAGCTTGCAAAACAACTGGGATCAGACCGGGACACTCTCAAACTCCCCGAGACTGTCTCGATCTCAGGCAGATCCGCGCATTCATGGGCCCTGAAGCGCAGCCGCGAAGATGTAAGGGATTGAAGCCAAAGCCCCGATGCCGGATGTCAGGAGCCGCGGATCAGGGCCGTGACCCAGAAGTTCGGGTGGAAGTTTTCATGGATGGACGAGGACCCGCCTTGTTGGTTCGGCTTCTTGGCTTCGGGGCTGAGGCTTGCGGCCCTTTCTGGGGTTGAGGGCATATACCCTAATCCCTAAACCCTAAACCCTAAACGATAAACCCTTACCCTGAACCCTAAACCTCCTTAATGCCTTAAGAGGTTTGACGGGAAGGTCTGGGATATTTCGGTGGCCAAGCCCGGGAGATCCCGAGAGCGCAAGTCGCCCGAAGTGCAAGTCCTCCTTGCCTTCGGCCTTTCCGCATCCGCGCGGCAAAAACCTTTGCGACACCTCCCCTTCTAAACCCTAAGCATAAAGGGGTGGCAAAGAACAAGAAAGTTGTGTTTATGCAGGTTCTTCTGTGGTCTCGAGACTAGATACATGAGTTTTTCAAAGCATGCCGACACGCTACCTGCAGCAGCTCGGCGGGTGGGGTTCTTGATCACGAATGGATAACGAAACCCAAAATTTCAGACCCCAAAGCCACCAGCAGAATCCCTACATGCGAACCGCTTCGGCTGTGTGTGTGTGTTGTTGATGGGTCACACCTCTTGGAGCTCTACGCCATCAATCTTGCAGCCTTAGGTGGGCGTCTCAACGTCAAAATCCTTATGAACCCTGTAAAGCCCATAAACCTTTAGGTGTTTCAGACCAGGCTGATCCCGAAGCCTGTGAGCTATGCGATTCATGGCTGGCCTGCCCTACTAGTCATGCTCTTCTTGCTGCTTCTGACCACGGATGCCGGGCATTGGGAGGCAAGCCTCGCCAACGAGCCCAGACGAAACCCTCACACCGAAGCCTCCTAACTCCCCTCCCCAACCCCCTGACCCCCTCCGAACCCCCTCCCTACGCCCCTAGCTTGAAGGTTCATGGTACTTACTAACCAATTATAATTGTATAACCCTACTTATAATGCCCCTAAAGGGCCTTATGGGGGGTTATCCCAATTATAAGTAGGGTTATAAGCCCAGTTATAATTGGCTAGTAAGTACCATGAACCTTCAAGAGGAGCGGCGCCGCATGGAGCGCGAGGAGCGCGCGAAGCTTGGCTCAGAGGCCTGGGAAGAGCGGCTCCACGTGCCTTCGGCCGAAGACTGTTTGCCTAGTAATTGTCTTCCTGTTTTTGCATTGTTGGGTATTATGTTCCCTTATACTAACAGTCCTTAATAGGGACTATAGTACCCGATTACGTGAGAGTCCCTGTTAAGCACTGTTAGCATAAATGGGAACATCCCAAGGTATACGGAAGTAGGATTCAGGATGTAGGGCTTCAGGTGCAGGGGGTGTGGGTTGTTGCGTGTCGGTTCAAAGACCCTGCTTGTAACTTGGGCAGTGGGGACCTTGAAGACTTCTTGAGTCTGAGGGTTTATAACTCTCAGGAAGCCTAAATTTCCGAGCCCCACCCATGGCAGAGCTGGGGCGATCTGAGGCACTCATGGAAAAGGGGGTCCCAGATGCGAAGGGCGTACCTGCGGGTTTCTGCAAGAAGGACGGAGCCGGCTTTTGTGAGAGTCGAAAGGAGCAGGGCTAACCCCAGGCAAGCCCTTAAAAACCCGAACAACTTTTCCAGAGCCTGAGCATCCAAATCCTGGAGAGACAAGCACGACCTTCAGGGGGCATGGGCAAAGCCCTTAAACACCCAACAGCGCCCACACCCCCACCCCCCCCCCCCCCTGCAGGGCTGCGGGCGCAAAGTCGCTCCCGGGAAGACGCGCAGCGGCAAGCCGTTCGACACCTGCTGCCGCGGCTGCACCCTGGGCTTCGGCCACGACCTGATGTGCGGCCCTGGCCCAAGATGAAAGATGCCATTGGTGGGGATACAGTGGCCTAGACTATGAGCAATGCATTGCGCCCGCAAACAGCGGAGGTGGATCTGAAATAGCCCCTACATCCCCATAACTGGCCCCAAAGTTTCCAAAGCCACTGCTAAACGTGGACCGTCCAGCCACCTGGAGTGAAACGAAAACGCCAGGTAAAACCTAAAGCCCACACCGGTGCCGACACAGTATGACGAAGCATCTGCGGGTAAATCGAAGAAAGGCGTGCAACTTACACCAAAGGCACGGCCCCCTCATGATATTAATTTTCACATCGTCATGTACATCAATTACGCCAATTATGTACTTCTCTCAACACATAAACCCTTATCAGGAATACATGTCGACATGAATTGCATTATTCTACCTGATCTTTTTGCAAGCTGCAACCCGCCGGTCATCGGGATCGTCCCTGTGTAGTTCAACTGTATCAAGCTTCATCTAAGAGAGCCGGGGGTTTGAGAAAGGGTTTCGGATAACTGTCGTCCGCCCTGCTTTCAAGTTGTGAGGTGGACATGAAACCAGCACAGAAACAGCCCGGAATGTGGCTTGAGATTTAAGTCAAAGCCGCCTGCGTGTTTGCAGGTGTGGCTTAAGTCATGGCCAGGGGGGGAGGCCTGCGACCTTGCAAGTAGCAAAACTCTCGCGCGCAAACAAGACTATCTTCTATGCAGCACTGACATGCTGAGGCAACATCGATGCGAAAAAGTTGGGCCCAGGCTTGTGCAAGTGGGAGGCTGAGTCATACTGAAATCTCAGGGCATTGCAGTGACAGTTCCAGCGTCGGTAGCATCACAGTTCCTGCGGCTGGAAGGTATGGGTGCGGGCGTAAAGTCAACCCTGGAAAACATGCGTCCGGCCGGGCCTTCGACACCTGCTGCCCGCTGTGTGCCAGCGGCAGCCACGACGCCCTGTGCGGCAAGGAGGCCTGCGTTTCCTGAGCAAACGAAATATGCTGGAAGTTCCCGAAACCCTAACCCTAAACCCTAAACCCTAAACCCTAAACCCTACTTTTGCATTGCTGCTTCAAGCCCGACGCATGATGGAATACACAGGTCAGCAGTGCTCCCGTCGAGCCGGGATTCTGCAGGATGAGGCCAGGCCGTTAGCCCGATTGCGCACCTAAAACACTTCATTTTGAGGTTTGGGGGTAGGCATGCATTGGAGCCCCAAAAACACTTCATTTCCAGGTGCGGTTTGGGGGCCGGGAGTGGGCGGGCTGGGAAGAAGGGGGGGGGGGCAAGAGCGGCAAGGGGTTGGGCATGCATTGGAACCCACACACTTCATTTCCAGGTGGGGGTTGGGGGTCGGGCTTAAGGGCGAGTGACTGGGAAGGGCGGGATGCATTGGAGCCCCTGAACCACTTCATTTCCAGGTGGGGTTTGGGGGTCGGGCTTAAGGGTGAGGGGGGAAGGAGAGCGGCGGGGCATTGGAGCCAGGCTTAAGGGTGAGCGGGGGGAGGGGGCGGTGGGAGCAGCGGGGGTTTGGACATGCACTGAACCCCCGAAAACACTTCATTTCAGGGGTCGAGCTTCATGAGGGGGTAGGGGCAAGGGGTGGCAGCAAGGGCTTTGTGATAGCGGTACGGGCAGTGCAAGACACTGAATTTCAGGTCCCAGGGGATGGACGGACACTATGGGTCTTCACTAACGCCGCCCCGCTGAAGCTGGGGTCGGCGGATAAGGGGATCCTACCATTTGAGGGTCTATATAAGGGGTCCCTTACTATCGTAAACCCCTAAATGGGGAGCCCATGTTGGGGTGTCACGTCTATTTTTTTGCTTTGCACTTGATACAAAACCAGAGTAGAGGACCTGCCGACCCCTCCCCACATCCAAAACCCTTGAGACAAAAGTGCAAATTGAACCATGACCTTCTCGAATTCGTTCTGCAGCTAGTGATCCACAGTGTGTAACCATACGATGTGCTGCCAGAGCATATAAAACCCTAAACCCTAAACCCTAAACCGTATCTTGTTCAGCTATGCGGGCGGCAAACAAAAACCGTATCTTGCACGGATCCATTGAAGGTGCGGACGACGGGTTGCTCAAGCAAAGGATGGCAGAAAGTTCGACACATGCCCGGAGCTCAGCTCAACCGTTCAGCGACTTGGCGCCATGGCTCGTCCCGCGACTGGTGAAACCTTGCGTGTGCTTGATGGTACTCATTAACCAATTGTAACTGTACTTCTACCTGTACACAAAACCATATTAAGGCACTTCAGGGGCTTCTAAGTGGGTTATGATAAGTACAGTTACGATTGGCAAATAAGTACCATGAACCTCCAAGTGCTACCAGGTTGCAGAGGTTGCGCGACAGGAGCCGAGCATACTGAGACTTGTGCTGCTTTAATGGCCTGAGCCTGGCGGCCGCTCCTCTGAAAAGCGGAGGAGTCGGCGCTTGTTCTTAAGTCGTCTCCCCTTTCATGTTGGCCCCTTGTGCTATAGGGACCCCCCCCTTGTAGTTCCAACACACGATCAACTGTGATCTTTTGGGTGTCTGAGTCGCTCTGACCGGCCAAATGGTCAGCCAGAACTGCTGGACGGCCAGAGAAAGTGCCTTGTTGTGACATCATACCCGGAGAGCCCAATGCCCCTTCATTAAGGAATATGCCTGAAATGGTACATGATCCCCATTATGATTTTAAGGAATATTCAATTAAGGGGTATTGGGCTCTTTGGTACTAGTATCTCCACAACCCTCGTGCCTTCACATGAATGGCTGCAGGCAGTGCTTGAAGTCTGTTCTCTGCTGCCACGCCCATGGTTTTGTGAGGGGCTCAGGGCGTGCAGAAGTGAGATGTCGATGACGCCACCGTGGGCTGCAGCTACGAGGTTCACCGCGACCTGAACGCAAAAAACTTTATGATATCAGGCGAGGACAGGACCGCTTCATGCACCAACTCTAAACTCTATTTAGGGTTTAGGGTTTAGGGTTTAGGGTTTAGGGTTTAGGGTTTAGGGTTAGGGCTCTACATCCTGAACGCCCATGTCTTATAGCGCAACAGGACGGTCAAGCTGATCGACTTCGGACTCGCTACACGCTTTCAGGGGTACCTGCCGAAGGACTTCCGGAAAGATCCGTGCTTAGTATTACAGGTGTCATCGTAGAAGAAATATATTCATCTGTCGGGCACAAAGTGTGAAAAGCTCATTTAGTAGCCAAATCCAAATGGAACAGTGGTGGAACTGAGGGGAGGGGAGCTCATTCCCAAAGGTTTCAGTGAAGGCTTCAGTGAGGGTTTCGAGTTCACTGGCTGCACGTCGAAAAAGGCTGACCAGGCAGATTCTCGAGGTCCTTGTGCCTCTCCCTCTCCCTCTCCCCCTCCCCCTCCCCCTCTCCCTTTCCCTTCTGCCCGCGAGGACCAGTTCATCGAAATTGTGGGCTCGCACCTTACAGGGGCATCATACTGTCAAGCCTGGGGTTAAGCCAGAACCCCTGAAGGGCTTTCGACTTCGTTCGGAATTCTGTGCCCCCTGGCCCCCTAGACACGGTAGCGCCAAACCCTAAACCCTAAAACGTTGTGAGCTCAGGCCAGTTCAGGGCCTGGCAAAGGTGTCCGGCATAAGAAATGGGTTTGTGTTTTTTTGGGGGGCTCAGGTTGAAGAAGGGCACACGGGTTGCACACCCGCGGAACATACCCCGAAACATACCCCCGAAACATACCCCGTAACATACCCCCGAAATTGCAGGTAAAGTAGCTCATGATGCCGCGAAACATACCCGAAACATACCCCCGAAACATACCCCGAAACATACCCCGAAACATACCCGCGAAACAAACCCCGACCCAACACTTGTCGCGCGCCTCCCCATTAAAAAACACAAACCCAAATAGTTCTTGGGAGATCGGGCCTTCCCCAAACCCTAAACCCTGTGGACTAGACCCCCTTGGGAATTATTCTTTTTTTATTTATATAAAACCCAAGAGGATGTAAAACAAGTTAATTTTTCTTATCCTAATGGGAGTATAATAGGCCCTAGGCCCGTAAACCTAAAGGATCTTCGGGTCAAAGGGAGGGCCTTTTTTTGGCGGAGGGCCCGGCAGAAAGAAAAGAGCGAGCCGCCCCGTCCGCTTGGCCACACTTGGTTGAAAGTTGACAACACGGGGGACCCCAATTTGTACCTTTTTTGGTGTAGGGATTCTTGTAAGATGGGCACCCTCCCGGAAAGGGGGGGGGAGGTGTTTTCAGGGTTTGGGTTTCAATCATGGGGTTCATACGCTCCTATTCGAGCCAAGATGAGAGCGTCCAAGGCACGTCGCATTACATGGCGCCTGAGATGATCCTGGATGGAAAGTACAGCTGGGTGCTTAGGTCGGAGTCGGGGGCGTTTGGGGTATGGACTTGTGCAGGCTTGAAGATTTCAACCCCCCCTCGCCTCGTCACCCTTTTTGCATCTGGCCTGCTGTGCCTCTTCACCCTGCAATCCTGAACGGTGCTGTATGCACTTATTTGTAAACATGCGACTTTTCTTCTCCCTGGCTGCAGAGATTGCGGTCTGCCAGGCAATAGATAGTCGCTCAGGTCCAGCCGTGGACATCTGGTCACTTGGTCTCTCCAGCTGCCTTGCTCACCGCCACATCCACAAGTTAGTTGCTGGTGCGTGCGGCCAGGCGTCTTGTTCTATGTTTGCTTGACTGGGCCACTTGGCTGCAAGGCTCCTCCCGCCTTGCGGTCATCTGTCAGAGAAGTGTGGGCTGACAGGCTCATGCTGCTACCAAAGGACGACGAGCGCAAGAAGCACCTGTTGGGCAAAAAGGTCCCAACTCCTCCATGTCACCAACACGCAACCTCCTTAAACCACCACCAACGACTGCCACTCAGGGCTACGTCGACCGGAAGTTGGGGAAATGTTCTCAACTTCAGAAGCGATCCTGTTCCGAGCAGGCGCCACAATCCGACAAGCTTTCGGCTTGAAACGGGCTCAAGCCAGGGCGCGTGAGGGCGTTGAACGGGGCAGCTTGGAATGCGGCATTGTCAGTGACTCCACTTCTCCGATAAGTTCGGGCATTGTCAAGGTTATTTGCTCTACCGGTAGGCGGAATCGCATAAGGAAATCCATCTTGTGGCCAGGCACGAAGTCTCTTACAGTCTATGCTGGAGGCTCAGTGCGGATGAAAGACTGTGGGTGGAATCAAGTGCGGTTGAGAATTGTTGGGGTTGCAGCTGTCGTGGACTGACCTGAGGTGTTCAGGTGAACCGTCAGTTATGACGACAGCCCAAAAGAGGCCCTAACACCCTTCTAGCCCTCCGGCCTACGCCCCCACATCAAAGGGTTCAGAGTTCAGGATGTAGGGCGTATGGTTTAGGGCTGAAGGAAGTTGGGCCTAGAAAGAGGCTCGGTCGTTGAGCATAAGGATACCATGGGGGGCGAACTGCTTCGCGAAGGGCTGTAGCTAACCTGATTAGAAAGCGGGAGTCAACGCACCAAAGGTGTTGAGGCCCCAGTTCCACTGAGGTCCAAGAGCTGTAAACCGACCTCATCGCTCCTTTAAATTATTAAGATTGGTTTTTTCTGCCTTCTACATTCTTCTGCTTCAGAGCCCTAAACCCTGAGCCCCAAAAATCAAAGCCTGAGCCCTAAGCCCTACCACCCCAGCTCGCGGCACTTCGCCCGAGGCTGCAATACGAGCCCTCGCACAGAATCACTGCCTCCGAAGCATTGCTCGGACCCAAGCCTCATATGCGGCCACACTAGAGTCCCTGTATGGAAGGGTTTAGGGTTTGTAGGTTTTAGGGTTTATGGATGCCCTCCGTTTTCAGCCCTCTTATGCCCTCCGAAAACGCCTCATGTAGAACAACGCTGCCATGGAGCGTTGTTCCTCGAAGCTTTGTAGGGGGTACTGGGGCACCTAGTTTTGAACTATGACTTGGGATGTTCCACCTTATACTAACAGTCCTTAGTAGGGATTATAGCACCCCATATGACAATCCCTATTAAGGACTGTTAGTATGAGGGGGATAACAAACTATGACTCTTGGACCGTTGGGCCCCGAAACTGCAAAGCCCAAACCCGGAGCCGGAAAGCCATTTCTTATTCTGAAAGCTTAACCTCCCCGAGTCGGTGTACTCCGTTTGCTATGCCATATTTTGCTGGATATCTAGCGCGAGTGGTTTTCAGGCTTGTTTCCGTTGGTGCGCGGACTTGATTTCTTGGTACTGAGTGAACCGGCCCTTGCCCATAAAGAGCCCACCACAAGGCGGACGCATGGCCAAGGGAACTCAGCAAGGCCCCCCACCCCCCAGCCCCGGAGTCAGATCAAAAAGATCAACTGGGCCTTCTTGGAGGTTTTTGCCACATCCCCGCTGCTTCACAAAGCCCCTGTACCCGACACTCTCGCAGTGGAAGCCGAGCGCCTGAGCAACCACATGGGCCCGATCACATGAGCCCGCCCGCAGTCTCAGGTCACATCCGTTTATCCTCAGATGCTTGTCTGAATCAGTCCCGGCCGAAAGTGCATTGACCTCGTACATTTCCTTGACGACCTTGTTCATCCTTTGAGCCTTCGCAAGTGATGCCACGAAGTGATCCCTTCCCACAAGCCCCACCATACCCTAAACCCTAAACCCTAAACTGTAAACCCTAAAGCCCTGCCGCCCAAAGCCTTGAACCGGCGACTGACAGCCCCAGACCCCAGTTGACCCTAGGCCTGAAGACAGTACCCACACCAAGCCAGCTGCAAAGATTGAACCGAATCTCTTCTCGTATGAACCCTAAACCCTAAACCCTAAACCCTAAACCCCAAACCCTAAACCCTAAACCCTAAACCCCAGAATACTGTCACTTCTACCTCGGCGGCGCCGTCGAAGCGAAGACTGCGCTGGAGCCTGGCATCATCGACCGGCTAAGGCGGCCGAAATTCACTTTTTTAGCCTGCTTTAGGGTTTCGGGTTTAGGGTTTAGGGTTAGGGTTTAGGGTTTATGGTTTAGGCCGGTGCACAGACCGGGTTCAAAAGGGTTTAGGGTTTAGGTTTAGGGTGCAGGGTTCAGGGTTTTGGATTTTGGGTCACACAAGCAGTTGGCGAGATTGCCCGGAGCCCACTACTCAAAAGGGTCTGGGCCAAAAAAAGGCTTCGTGATCTCCCCCACAGGCACCACACTTCAGCTTTACCTTTCTCCCTTACCTGAGGTGTTTGCCCTAAACCCTAAACCCTAAACCCTAAACCCTAAACCCTAAACCCTAAACCCTAAACCCCTAAACCGGGGCTCAGGGTTTGGGGCTCGGGGGATGTCAGGGGCAGAGCACAGTACGCGGGCGGCGGCAAGCCCCAAGCATTCGGTTTCCTGATCCTGCATCCTACATGTCAAGAGATGAAGACTCTTACCCCTAAGGTTGTACCCCCAAAGGTTCCCCTTAAGATACCCGTAATATGGCCCTTGTATTCCCTGGGTACAACCTTAAGGGTCCAAGGTAGAACCTAGAACATGTGCATTTTTAAACCAGGCGGCGACTCAGAGGCCCAAAGCCCCATGCTGCCCTCCCAGACTCCCCACACAAACAGATGAAAGCCCGCCCTAAACCCTAAACCCTAAACCCTAAACCCTAAACCCTAAACCCTAAACCCTAAACCCTAAACCCTAAACCCTAAACCCTAAACCCTAAACCCTAAACCCTAAACCCTAAACCCTAAACCCTAAACCCTAAACACCCGGAAGGCGGTTTGCGAAAGCTCCGCGGCTCAAAAAGGCGGCCATACTTTGTGGCTTGTTGAGAGGTTTATTCGTAGGGATCCAGGTAAACCCTAAACTAAATCCCCAAATCCCCCGTAAACCCTTTCTTCCCAAGCCTGGGTGAAAAAAAGATAACCTAGGGTCACCCCTATGAAGGTCACTTAGGCCTTTGCCTGGGCAAGGGCTAGTGGGCAAGAAGGGCTTAGAGTCGGTGGCATTTGAACATCTACGCTGAATTGCTTGGGTTTCGGGTTTCGGGTTTCGGGTTTCGGGTTTAGGGTTTAGGGTTTAGGGTTTAGGGTTTAGGGCTCAGGAGTCACCGCCATCCTTCACATGACATGCTCAGCCTTTTCGAGCAGGTGGCCTTGTTATTCATGGCGCACCTGACCGAGCACGATGAGCAGCTGCTGGCGGGAGCTGACAATGTGTCGTGGGTTTAGGGTTTAGGGTTTAGGGTTTATGGGAATCCAGTCAGTAGCACTGGGAGCCTGTGCTTGGGCAGTTTCTGGCAGCACCCACGGGAGTCCGGATGCAAAAAGGGCTTAGGGTTTAGGGTTTAGGGTTTAGGGTTTAGGGTTTAGGTGACCGAGCCACCTGCTTGTCCCCCCAACCCTCTCCACCCCCCAACGGCTTAGCCACTCTCTCTGTCCATCTCTGTTTGTGTCCTTCGTTCCAAGGACAATGGACGTGTTCTGGAGCCCCTCAGTGGATTTCAAAGAACCACCCGAATTCTAGGACCTGTTACGTTTGCAGATGCTTCGAAGACCTACGGGGGCTTGCATGGACACTTCTTGGCAGCAGGCAGCGCGCCACAACTTCAGAACGCTCGACCGGAACGGGGTCGCTGCCTGAGATAGGCTTGCAAGCCGCGCAGTTGATTCGCGGAAATGGAAATTTAGCGAAGGCAACCGTTCTTGGGCACCTAAACCCTAAACTCAAACCGTAAACCCTATACCCTAAACCCTAAACCCCAAACAGCATTCATCGCCACGGAAACCTGAGCTGCATCATCGGGCCCTTCTTGCGGCCACCAGCGATTGCTTTTGAATTCTTCGGCCGCCAACCCCCCCACCTGGTTCTGAATTTCTGAATGCTCGCAGGAATTCTAATTTCAGGAGCCTCCTGCTACATGGGTAGTTCTTTAAATTTGGGGCCAAGGTTTGGGTCCTCTACACCCCTAAACGGACCCTAATCTAGAGATTTACCGGCATACCTGCTGCTGAAGCCCTACGACGCCCACCGATTGAAGGTCATGCAACTAAAGGAGCGAACACGAGGCCCCGAAGTTAACGACACCCCCAAAAGCACCTAAAGGCGGATGTCCGACAACAGGGCTACCCTTATCTTGGGGGGAGCTCCTAGAATTGCGACCATCATATTTTGGGGGGTACTTTAGGGGTACCCCTACAAGACCCAAGTTATCCAAAGCCCTAAACCCTAAACCCTAAACCCTAAACCCTAAACCCGAAACCCTAAACCCTAAACCCTAAGCCCTTTCATCCAAGCCCAGGATGGTGAGATCTCCCTCGAGGAGCTTGAGGCCGGCCGACTCAGAATCCCCGACGGCCAGACAGCTTCTTTCACCATTCCTTGGGGACCAAATGAAGCCCTTAAAGTGTTTATCAGTGTTCATACTAGCTTGATGGGAATTTCTAGGAGTATCGGGTACATGCATATTGCCTTAAGAGGAATTCATAGGGAGTAGAGGTTAGCAGGGTTTACGGTTCATATTCGGAATTGATACGAGTGTTTGGTATATGACCCCAAGGGTTAGGGGTTCCTGTTGTGTCCAGGGAAGGAGCGGGCAGAGTGTAGGCAAGGATATGGCAAGGATTATGCCTGAGCAGGAACAGTGGCCTTCTAACTGAGAATTCTGGGGTGTTCGAGGCCGGGCTCAGCAATGCCTCGATTCAGCTCCCTGCTGACATGGCTGAGATCTTCGATGGGTGCAGCTTGGGCCCCAGATGCAGTGGCCACCACATGACAGGGGTAGGTTTTAAAACATAATTTTCACGTTGTATTACCCTTCGTCCCCTGTATAATCCTTATAAAGCCATAGGAATTTAGGTTTTAAAGGGCCCCAAAATTTCAAAGCCTGCCCCACGTAAAGGCTTTGAGGCCCAAGCTGCATGCTCTCATCGAAGGCGGACACCGAAAGGGACAGTCCGCGCCTGAAGATGCTTTTGTTTGTTGCGTGCTGGTGAATGCATATTCTTCGGTCATCATCACCATATAGATACGCATATGATACCGTCACCTCCCCCCTCCCAAATATGCCTACCTTTCTCTCCAAAGTTTTGCCGGTATCTCGCCTGCACGCGAGGGTCGTTTCTGGCCAGAACGGCACGAAGGCGAGAAGAATGTGGCAGATCCCAACACGAGCCCAAGCACTTGTGATCCGCATGTTTTTTTGTGGTCACTGTGTAGTCGTGCACCCCCCGGGATGAACACGAAACATGGGGGGGTTTGCTGCTGGGTAGCGCCAGGGCAAAAACTAAGGCCAGTGGGCAAGGTGCGCTGTAGCCTGGGGGAGCTGCGCGGTTCCCCACTAAAACGAGGTGCCCCCCCCCCCCCCCCCCTCCAAAAGAAAGAACTTGCTCCATATGCAGCTCGGGGGTCTAGGGTCAAAGGAGTGAGAGCTGAAAGGGCTTCTGGAAGCCGAAGCCTTAGAGACCTGGATGCCTTTGCTTGGTCAACCGAGGGGTGAGGGGTGGGGGAGGTGGATATGTATATCTATAAGAGAGAGATATATATATACATATAATATATATATATATATATGTATATATATATATATGTATATATATATATATGTATATATATATATGTATATATAAATGTATATATGTATATATATATATATACAATATAAACATGTGTTTGTGCGTGAGTGTGTGTGTGTGTGTGTGTGTGTGTGTGTGTGTGTGTGCGCTTTCTTGCTTATTGTTTTGCATAAATTCCTCCTGACTCATGAGGCTGCACTTTGTGGAGTTCTTGGCCTGCACCATGCCGATTGCCGAGATGCCTGCACCATTACAGAGGTCCTTGACGCAAATCCTGAGACCAGGCCTGATAGCCTCATTGACGAAAGGCTCTGCCACGAGGCGCGGGATCCATCGCAGTTCCCCCCCCCATAGCGCGATGTCGTCGTGGGATTGCCAATCCTGGCAGCTAGTAGATGAATCGATATGCGAACCTCACGCAAGCAGTGCTGAACCTCAGAATGTCACGTGCAATCGGCTTTCGGCACTTGATGCTCATCCAAGCGCCAGGCACTCTTGGACACAAGAGTCATCCAAACATAAGCAACAGCCTCAGGAGGTAGTAGTAGGAGGTCGTGGTCGTGGTCGTGGTCGTGGTCGTGGTGGTGGTGGTGGTGGTGGTGGTCGTGGTGGTGGTGGTGGTGGTGGTGGTGGTCGTGGTCGTGGTCGTGGTGGTGGTGGTCGTGGTCGTGGTGGTGGTGGTGGTGGTGGTGGTGGTCGTGGTGGTGGTGGTGGTGGTGGTGGTGGTCGTGGTCGTGGTCGTGGTGGTGGTGGTCGTGGTCGTCGTGGTCGTCGTAGTCGTCGTGTTGGTGGCGGTCGTGGTGGTCGTGGTGGTCGTGGTGGTCGTGGTGGTGGTGGTGGTGGTGGTCGTCGTCGTCGTCGTCGTCGTCGTCGTGGTCGTGGTCGTCGTGGTCGTGGTCGTGGTCGTCGTGTTCGTGGTGATCGTGGTGGTCGTGGCGGTCGTGGCGGTCGTCGTGGTCGTGGTCGTCGTGGTCGTCGTGGTCGTCGTGGTCGTGGTCGTGTGGTCGTGGTCGTGGTCGTCGTGTTCGTGGTGGTCGTGGTCGTGGTGGTGGTGGTGGTGGTGGTGGTGGTGGTGGTGGTGGTGGTCGTGGCCGTGTCAGTGCGCGAATTTACAGTGCTCGAATCAAACTCTGTGCAAATCCGTTCCGGTCTTGTGCGCATGTCGGTGCGTCGAGTGCCCGAGTCGGTTCTCTATCGAAGGTGCACCGGGCCACAAGCGAACAGAACCCCCAAAACCCCAAAACCCAAAACCCTAAACCCTAAACCCTAAACCCTAAACCCTAAACCCTAACCCCTAAACCCTAAACCCTACACCAAAAGCAAATCCCAGAAGCCCACAGGCTTTCAGCCTCCTGGACCCCGTCGGCGACCCGGTGCACCGAGGGAACCCCAGAAACCCCAAATTTAGGGTTTAGGGTTTGGGGTTTAGGGTTTAGCCCAAAACCAGCACCTTTATCCCCATGGTTTAGGGGTTTCGGGTTTAGGGTTTAGGGTTTCGGGTTTAGGGTTTAGGGCCCCAGAAGTTATACTAAAGGGAATCCCAGAACTCTCGTCATCCTCAAGCCATGTTCCAACTTTCTGGAGCTTGCTGTCTAGGAATCCTGAAGGGGGCCCTAAGGCTCTCTGCAAAGCTCCCCCTTATCAAGCCTCTCCACTGAAAACATGCAGGACCAAAGATAAACCCTAAACCCTAAACCCTCAACCCTCAACCCTCAACCCTCAACCCTCAACCCTAAACCCTAAACCCTAAACCCTAAACCCTAAACCGTAAGGACTTCCCCACCATGTCGCACAGACCCAAACTGCTGCTGACTGAGCTGAGGACGGCAAGGGCAGGCTGACTGCAGAAGATCTGCAGGCGGCCAGGAGCTTGGAGTATTGAAACCTAAGCCTGAAAATGTGGGCTTATGGATTCACAAGGGTTTGTTTTGAATGTGAGTTATAGGATGATACAGAAGGTTGTCCTCGAAAAACAACCCTCTGAGTCTTTTCAGGTCTGCCCATCCTACGAGCTGGAGAGATGTGAGAAGATGGTACGGCAAGCACAAGTGGCGGAGGCCCTGCGCGCAACATGCGCTGATCTGAGTTGTATAGTTCTGGTGTTTGCTTGTGTGTGTGGCTCAGGATGGGTCTGGGTCCTTCGATTTCGATGATTTCTATATGTTTCTTTGCGGCGAGCTGCTTAGTGAGCCGCATCCCTTTCTCTCTCTCTCTCCCTCTTCCTCCGGCCCTTATCGCTCTCTCTCTCTCTCTCTCCCTCTTTCCCTCTCTCTCTCTCCCCCTCTCTCTCTCTCTCTCTCTCTCTGTCGAGCTTGGCAGTAGCATTTGTGGCTTCAAGGACCCAACAGTGACGAGGCCTCATGGCAGCTGGAAGAAGGCGTCGCAGAGCGGCAGTCGCCTTGGCTCTCCTCGCAGGAGAATTCGGCCTCTGTGCAGCATGCGTCGCCCCTGAGGCCAAGGAAGGCTCCCCGGTTGGATACAGGAGGTCCCTGGCTCGCACGTGGGCGTGTGTGTGGGCAGTGAGTGACATGATCTCCTTGCCAGGAGATCCGCACCCTGCCTTTATCGGCATTCCAGCATCCGGCTAGCTGAAGCCATTCAGCGTGTACATAGGAGCCGCGATGCGGGACAATTCGTTTCCTTTACACCTCAAGCCCCGAACCCCCGAAACCCCCCCAGAATTATCAGGGCAGCTGAGAGGTCGGCCGACCAAGCCCGAGTTGAGTTCCAGGCCCAGAGAGCCCAATACCCCGGCCTCAATTCATACCTGGCCTCCTTATCATGATTGAAGGCATATGCCTCCAATAAGGGGCATCAAGGGCTCTTTGAGGAGCCGGCTGTCCGGCTGGCACCAGTCAAGAGCTGCGCAGCGCCGCATAAAGTCTCAGCACTTGCAGAGTTCGATTTGGGCGATGTTCGGGCATCTTTTGGGATGTTCCCCCTTAAACGAACAGTCCTTAATAGGGATATTAGTCCTTCCCCCCCGATTATAATCCCTATTCATGACTGGTAGTAGAACGGGGAACATCCCAGGCGTCTTGCATGCTTGCTGGACTTTGCTGTTTGTACGGTGCCTTGAGAGGAAGTCGCTTCCGAGAGCCGCGCCTTTCATCCTCTTGGATCGCCTTTCCCGGCTTGCAGCGCACGTGGATATGCTGCATTCGAAACGGCAAACACATGTTGCAGCATACGTTTCTCTGTTGTTTTTGAGGTGCCGTTGTCGTGGTTCCTGTTCTTTGCACCAGCTGCATTTCACATCCCCGCCATGAAGAGCACTGAGACTCAAAGCTTGGTGTCAGCTGAATCCGCTGATCAGATGCGTCAGCAGCCAGCAGCCTTCCTGGCAAGCCTTGATTGGCAGAAGTTCGAAGCAGCTGCTCTACCCTTGACGAAGATCTACAACCCACCCCAGCTGGTTAGCACCTGTAAGGGGTTTGGTGCGCGCGTCTCCATGTGCGGGAACTGCCTGTTTACGCATCGTGCACCTATCTGTGCTAAGCCGCAGTTTCCGTGCTGTTGCGCCAGCGCGGCACAAGGCCGCGTCCAGGACTTGGCACACGTGAAGCTTTCCGAACCAGATGAGTGGTTTGTGAAGATGCTCAGCGTTGAGCATCCGAATACTCCGGACTTCATGAAGGGGATCTTTTGGATGGAGGACAACTATGCACCGGAAGTGCTCCTGACTTTTCAAGATATGGATTGGGTGTCGGGAACACGCGGGTACTTCAATCCAAAGTACAGTTGGACGAATGATCCAACTTGCATCGGAACACTCTGTTTGTGCATGCATCTCAACAACTCTCCACGCTCTGCATGGCCATTCAGTGTGTCACCAAACGGAAAGTGGATCAACATTAACCCGCAGTGGATCTACAGACCTGACGAGGGCGAGAAAATCACTCGACCAGATGGCTCTGTTGTGGAGATGGGGCGCGGGGACATGATTCGAGTGAGTTTTGCGAATGCCAGTGATCCGACATCAGGAATGAACTATCAGTACCTCGTACGCCTAGTGGCTTACATGGAAAATGGAAAACTCGTCAAGACCAAGGCCTACGATGAACTCCGCCGGAGAGCAACAATGCCAGACACAATTGGTAGTTGCTGCGGCTACTACAACTGTTCCGCTGTGGGAGACAATTACATTTTCGATGCTTACGAACCATTGTCAGATCATCAGACGATGCTGTTCCCGCCGCCTCTGGAAGTCATGTGGCCCGACTCTGTGCCTCCCAGCACAGGCTGAGGAGGAGCGGAGTCTTTTGCTTTTCGGGATGAAGAATGATGAAGAAGAACTGAGCACCACAGCACTGAAGCCGCGCGATGTCCTTCGGGGATGTACCACGTGTCACTTGTTTTACTTGCGGAGTCCAGCTGCGAAAAGGTTTGGCATGGCGCATCTGAGATGGGGGGCGGCATGTGAGGTGGGCACTTGGGTCTTCCGCAGCGTGGGAAGGTGGATGGTGCGTTTCGTTTCGTTGTCACATGCTGCAGGATTGACTTGCATTGCTCGTGTGGAATCGCCTTGGCCGGCTCGCAGCGCACATTCATAATAATTTGCTGCATTCAGTAGAGCAAAAGCACGGTTTTCTGTTGTTGTAGGTGCCGTTGTCGTGGTTCCTGTTCTTTGCACCAGCTGCATTTCACATCCCCGCCATGAAGAGCACTGAGACTCAAAGCTTGGTGTCAGCTGAATCCGCTGACCAGACGCGTCAGCAGCCAGCAGCCTTCCTGGCAAGCCTTGATTGGCAGAAGTTCGAAGCAGCTGCTCTACCCTTGACGAAGATCTATAACCCTCCCCAGCTGGTTACCTCCTGTACGGGCCTTGGTGCTCGTGTCTCCATGTGCTGGAACTGCCTGTTTACGCATCGCGCACCTATCTGTGCTAAGCCGCAGTTTCCGTGCTGTTGCGCCAGCGCGGCACAAGGCCGCGTCCAGGACTTGGCACACGTGAAGCTTTCCGAACCAGATGAGTGGTTTGTGAAGATGCTCAGCGTTGAGCATCCGAATACTCCGGACTTCATGAAGGGGATCTTTTGGATGGAGGACAACTATGCACCGGAAGTGCTCCTGACTTTTCAAGATATGGATTGGGTGTCGGGAACACGCGGGTACTTCAATCCAAAGTACAGTTGGACGAATGATCCAACTTGCATCGGAACACTCTGTTTGTGCATGCATCTCAACAACTCTCCACGCTCTGCATGGCCATTCAGTGTGTCACCAAACGGCAAGTGGATCAACATTAACCCACAGTGGATCTACAGACCTGACGAGGGCGAGAAAATCACTCGACCAGATGGCTCTGTTGTGGAGATGGGGCGCGGGGACATGATTCGAGTGAGTTTTGCGAATGCCAGTGATCCGACATCAGGAATGAACTATCAGTACCTCGTACGCCTAGTGGCTTACATGGAAAATGGAAAACTCGTCAAGACCAAGGCCTACGATGAACTCCGCCGGAGAGCAACAATGCCAGACACAATTGGTAGTTGCTGCGGCTACTACAACTGTTCCGCTGTGGGAGACAATTACATTTTCGATGCTTACGAACCATTGTCAGATCATCAGACGATGCTGTTCCCGCCGCCTCTGGAAGTCATGTGGCCCGACTCTGTGCCTCCCAGCACAGGCTGAGGAGGAGCGGAGTCTTTTGCTTTTCGGGATGAAGAATGATGAAGAAGAACTGAGCACCACAGCACTGAAGCCGCGCGATGCCGCGGGGATGTACCACGTGTCACTTGTTTTACTTGCGGAGTCCAGCTGCGAAAAGGTTTGGCATGGCGCATCTAAGATGGGGGGACGGCATGTGAGGTGGGCACGTGTCTTGTTTGTGTTCTAGGGCATGAGGTACTGAAAGGGCTCCCGCCTCGGACAGACACGCGAAGCCGATGCAAGCAGTGAGCTGATGGTGATGATGATGATGATGATGATGACGACATACGTGCTATGTCGTGTAATCGGCCGGTGTGCAAGCTGAGCCACGCTGTAGCGCACGCTAGCTGAAGATGATGATGATCTAAACCCTACGATAACCTTCAAATTTTGTTCAGCTCTGCGAGAGCACCAAAAAAAGCCCGAAGAGAGCTGTTGACCTGTGCGAGGGTGATCGTCGAATCCCGAAACTGAGTGAGCCCGGAGCCGTCGAGCAGGGCGGACCTCTGGCTGGTGACGGAGCTCTCGGTCCCGTAGGCAGCTACTGGCAAATCTCCAAGGGCTTACCTGGAATCCCAAGAGGCTGCCTGGCAGCTAGTAGTGCCATTGTTATTCATTTTCGTCGTGTCTTGAAAATGCTTATTCGGTCGCGCAGAACATGATACTATTGTCACTACCAGCATCATATGACAAGCTGCAGTAGTATTTGCCGTGCCAAAAATGGAAACTTTTGAAGCTGTTGCTCCTGGGGTGCAGCTCTTTGCCTGCACCCCAAGCGCAGACATGCTCATACATAAAGGCGATGTCTACTCGCTGTCGCTGTGCTTGTAAAGCCCGGCGAGGGCCTTGGTGTTTGCTTGAGAGTTCACACCTGTGCCGCGCTCACGCGGTGTACGGCGCAACGTGCAGGCACGCGGCCGCCATGCCTGAAGGGATGCGGCAGTGGCAGAGGGGCCTGAGTTTAAACTTTTCCACACGTGAGCGCACTGGATTACAAACACTTATTGTTGTTGAGGAACTTAAATTGTGTTATCAAGATTACAGGGTGCTATATGGAACTTATAGATGAAGTATCCCTACCATGGCAGGTTCATTGAAGTTCCTTATTCAAAAGAGCCCAGTCAAGCGATGTTAAACGTTCTTGTATGCCTTCAGCGACGTTTGCGGTGGTGAGGCCGCGAAGAATCCAGGACCAATGCAGAAGTTCTGCATCAAAGCCGGCCAACTGCACAATCGAACCAGTGTTTCGTGACCCTATATCCTCAAAAACAAGGCCCAAAAGGCCCAACAGGCCAGGCCCCGTGGACGTAGTGGTAGCATGGCGCTAAGTAAGCCCACAGCGCTGCTTCAGCATGCCGCTGCGCTTCGAGAAGCTCAGGCGCGGAGCATTGCAACTGGGCAGCTCCGATACTTTACGTTTTCCCTTATTGGGCTTAGGAGAATCACATGTGGGCTTTTGTCAGAGGGTTTTTAAAGGGCCATCCCTAGGCACGCACATCGCCGTATTTTCCAATGTACGTGTTGTCGGTGGAGGAGGTGCTTCGCATGACTGCTCCTATATCCCCCTTGGGAATCGTTTTGTGTTTTGTATATATAAAACCCAAGAGTATATTAAAACATATTGTTGTTTCTTTTAAGGTTCTAAGTTTAAAGGGGAGTTTAGGCTCTTCGAGTGCATGAAGACTTGATGGCGGAGGGCGTTGTGCTGGTGTTCCAGGAGCGCACCGGGCATGCAGCGATCTTTGTTTCCCATCAGTGGGCAGGGCATGGGCACCCCGATCCGGACATGGAGCAGTTCAAAGTCATACAATCGTTCCTTTCTCAGCTCATGGAGGGCAAGATCACGGCAATTTCTGGGAACATCCTTGCGGAATTGTATCTCAACAAACCCAGGATTCCTTCGAAGGAGCTGCGGTCGTTCAAGCTATCGGTTTGGTATGATTATTTCAGCGTTCCACAAGCGGCAGAAGCAGTTGAGGAGAGGAAGAAGGCCATTCACAGCATTCCGCACTATGTGGGCAGTTGCCGTTACTTTGCTATGCTTTGCCCTCTGGTCAAGCACGCGCAAGAGAGCACGATCATGGGCAAGCGCTCCTACATGTCTCGTGGATGGTGTAGGCTAGAACTCGCCGCCCGCATTTTAAGTGAACGGGAATCTTCACAGATGATCGTTGAAGTCCACACCTCCAACCATCAAGTGTGCTCGCCTATCGGTGACTGGATCTTGAATCCGGTTGGGGAGGGCAGCTTCTCAGTCTCCCAGGATTTGCAGCATTCTGCTGCGGTCGTGACGTCCATGATCACCAAGAAGCTGGAGCACTTTCTGAAAGAAGGTGACCTTCATAGCTTTCGGGTTCTTCTCAATCTGCGAGGTGTCATTTACAGAGGCTTGCCAGCAGTTCCTACCCGATGCATCGTTCCGGGACTTCAGTCTTCAGCGACGGACCCTGCCAGACACTTGCTAGAGGCTTTCTTGCACGAGAATGGCTTGGCAAATGCGCTGGATTCTTGTTCGAATGGATGGACGCCGTTGTGTTATGCTGTTCTGGGAGGAAGCCCATTGCTTGTGAGCGCCCTGTTGGAGGCGCGTGCCAATCCCCATGATTGCTTGAGGAAGACGAAGGTGACCTTTCTGCCAAACATTGCGGGCATCACCGTATTGCAGGCTTGCATCTACTTGCGCCACAACGAAGCAGCCAAAGTGCTCATCTCCTTCCGAGCCGAAGTGACGGCCAAGGACTGCAATGGAGCAGAGGCCATTCATTGGGCCTCTCGGTTGGCCCTTGGGAGATTTTTTCTATTTTCCCTCACTGGGTTTAGGAGGATCAAATTGGGGTTTACGAGAATAAGGGGCCCCTACTTATACAGACCCCGAATAGTAGGATTCCCTGACAATAAGGACCTCCATAAGGTACCCCGACTCTCGGACACCCCCCCTATTCAGGAACATTTTTCAGAGGGTTTTAAGAAGGGCCCGCCGAGGCCTCGTCTTCCGACAACGTGGAAGCCGTGGCCCTCTTATGCTCCATGGGCTGCAGCCCCACGAAGGCGGTCAGCACGGGGCACATGCCTTTCGCGATTGCAAGTGCGACCGACAGCCTCCAAGCCCTCTGCGAACTCCTTCCGCGCACACCCAGGGAGTCGGTTCGCTCAGGCTTGCATTCCATCTTCTTCTTCGGAGGCGCCTCGGGGAAGATTGTGGCGACGCTGATCAGCGCCCAGGCGGATGTAAACGTGCCGATGCGTACCCGCCCCATGACCATCTTGGGCGTGATCCTCCGGCTGTATGCCCTCCGTCACAGATGGTCCACCTCAGCCTTGAGCACGTTTGCTTACCATCATCAAGGAGCAACTCCACTGATGTGCAGCTTGCTCACGTGTTCCTTCGAGGCGGCCGCTGTGCTTCTTCTTGCTGGCGCCGATACACAGCCCTTGAATGCACGTGGGAAGACCGCGAGGGATTTTGCAGGCCAGATGTCTGCACCGGCTTACATCCATAAGGCTTTGCAGGGGGACATGTCTGAATGTGAGCGTCTCGTAAGACATTTGACGCCGGGAGCGTAGAGCGAGATGTTTAGTTTCCATCCACAACGTGAGCTATCACCTTGATTGAATCATGGTGTTCCGTGCGTTACTGCAAGTGAATTTCACTCCAGTTCAGCGTTAGCGGCTGCGGTGTTTGTGCTTTAGCGTTTCGGCTGATGGTGAGAGGCTCGACTAACCTGAAACCTGGAGAAAACCAAGAAATGAGCAAATCTTGCCGATGCAGAGATGCCATGGCAATATCTAAGCCATGTATCTAAACATGTTCGCCCAAGAAGAGGGTCGGTAGGAGTCCGCTGATCTACGAATAGGGACCTGATATCTGATTTTATGCTTGTCTGTTCGTTTTTGGACACTTTTTTTCAATATTGGTAATCGGACACCACAAATTTCTTACTACCTAGGGGAACTTGATCTAGGGTACGCTAGGTTGGGGACAACCCTAGAATCCGAATTTGATATCATGTATGGAGGCACACACGGCGGTGAGGGCATTCAATGAAGGAAATGAATCATGATCATAATTTAGGATTTCATGATTTGGAAT